CGTGAGTCTACCGCCCACCCTGAGGACTCCGCGCGCGTCCACGAAAGGGGCGAGTTGTCGCAGAGGTTTGGAGCAATTCTGATTGCGTTTCAATCTATCGAGATCCTCTGCATAGCGACAAGATTGAACAACTTTAACGAGATCTAGCAGGGTCGAATGGAATTCGACTTGGTCTACAACAAGAGTTCTGTGAGGTGAATTCGACTTGAGTCGATTAACAAAACAAAGACAATAAGAGAATATTCTAACGAATTTATCCAATGACGAAAAACGATCGAGAAGCGAATCAACAACAGAAGCAGAGTTTACGACATCAGCAGGATTTACAACAACAAAAGCACGAGATTTTTCTTCCTCCGGAAAATCGTCAGTCTCCAATATCGTTTCTGGAGTGGGCTCGAATTCGGCGAGCCACGCAGGGCCGGTCCACCAAAGCTGGTGATCCACTAATTCTTGAGGAAACAAGCCCCTTGAGCAACAATCGGCGGGGTTAGACTTGGTGTCGACATGTCTCCAGCAAGAGATATCTGTGTTGGACTGGATGCGGGCCACACGATTGCGCACAAACGTCTTCCAACGGTGGGGGGCCGAACGTATCCAGGCGAGCGCGACCTCGGAATCAGACCACGCATACGTGCCGTCGATAGTAATCTTAGGCCGGAGGATGTTCCCGATATACTCCGCTAAGTCCGACAGTAAAACGGCTGCGCAAAGCTCGAGTCTCGGCAAGGTGATGGCCTTAAGCGGGGCCACCTTTGACTTGGCGCTGAGCATTCGAATCAGTACCCCGTCCTCGGCGACGATTCTAATATATACAACGGCTCCGTAGCCCTGTTCACTCGCGTCACAAAATCCGTGTATCTCCCGTCGGATTACGTTGGCCATGGCGATAGTACGAGGTATGCGAATAGAAGCTAGCGCGGGGAGTTCCGATTTGTATCGTCCCCATCGAGAACATACTTCCGAAGGAGGCCTATCGTCCCACTCTAATTTGAGCACCCAGAGTTGCTGTATCAGTCTTTTAGCTGCAAACGTAAGGAAAGTCAGAAAGCCTAACGGGTCGAAAATACGAGCCAGTTCCGAGAGAATGGTGCGTTTGGTACAATCTCTGTCCAACGGGTGGACCTGAAAGCCGAAGTTGTCCGTTTGAGGATACCAACGAAGTCCGAGAACTTTGAGAAACTGATCTTCCGAGGATTTAAACGATAGCAATGATTGACTGCAAAGCTCTGGATCGAGACCTGCTAAGACTGACGGATGGCTGCTGGCCCATTTCCTGAGCCCGAAACCCGCGGTTTTAAGCAAAGCTTGTAACTGCCGCTGAAGCTCACGGGCTTCCCCCTCAGATTCGGCGCTCGCCACCACGTCGTCGACATAGACGCTCTCCTCCAAGACCGCCGCGGCCAGAGGGTAGCTCACTTTGCCTTCCGTTGCCAATTTCAACAAGCAGGCGATTGCCAGGAACGGAGAACACGTCAATCCAAAAGTGACAGTCAACATCAAGTAGTCTAATATCGGATCATTCTCCGAGAAACGCCAGACTATTCTCTGGTAGTCACATTGACCGCGCTCGACCAAGATCCGAAGGAACATTTGTCTGACGTCTGCAGTGAGCGCCACGCGGCCTACCCGGAACCTCGACAATATCACGACTATATCCGTCTGTAACTTAGGCCCGGATCGCAATACGTCGTTCAACGAAACGCCGTTCAAATCCTTCGCCGAGGCGTCAAATACGACCCGCAATTTTGTGGTAGTGCTATCCGATTTGACTACCCCATGATGGGGCAAATAGAATACAGGTCCGTCCACCGGGAACGGCCGTTCAATCAGTTTCATATAACCGTTATTCAAATAATCCTGCATGAATTTGTTATAGTTCAATTTAAAGTCTGCATCTAATTTAAAGCGACGCTCAAGTGCGCGAAATCTATTTAGGGCTACTTGACGCGTGCCGACAAAACAAGGTTTATCCCTTCTGAAAGGAGGTTACGATACGACAAAACGACCGGACGCGTCCCGACGCGTGGTCTGAGCGAATAATTCCTCGCAACGTTTATCCTCCTGCGAATACGGTGGGACCGATGGAATCTCGTCTAGTTGCCAAAATCGACTAAGAGATGCGTCCAACGAATCGAGAGTCATAAACGAATGTGTGGATCCCGGCGCCTGCGTCGATACCGAACCGACGAGAACCCAGCCGAAGACGGAATTGAAGGCGTCTGGTTCGCCCTTCTTTCCCACGCGACGGCCATCCCGAAGTAACGACGCGAAGATTTCTGCGCCGATCAGGATGTCGATGGGACCGGGTCGGTGATACCGCGGATCAGCTAGCCGCAATCCGTTCAAATGTTTCCACGCTCTTCGCTCGACCTGACTGCTAGGTAACGGGGCGGAGATGCGCGGAAGAATCGTAGCCTCTACTGGGGTGCGCGTGCTTTCCCTGCCCTGTGCTTGTATTACGAGTGAGGTGCGGCCTCGAGTTGCAGCCGCCCTTGTATCATTTACCGCGAGAACTACCGTATGGCACTTGGTTCGTCCGAAACCACCCCTCTGCATGCAACTTTCGGAGATAAAGTTTAGCTGGCTCGCGCTATCTAACAGAATACGAACGGGGAAGGGATTTCCGTGTGCGTCGAGCGCTTCGGCTTGTACCGTCGACAACAATACGATCGGGTTCGACCGCGCGACACTAGCCATGCTAACGAGGGGTTCGCTTCCCTGCGATGACGTTGTCCCCGATTCGGAGGGTGGTTCGGCGTCTGTGGGTGCATTCGCCGAGCCCGAGTTCTGCTCAAAATGCAGGAGCGTGTGATGTTTGGCCTTACACGACCGACACGTCCACGACGATGGACAGTCATTAACGCTGTGGCCCGCGCGGAGGCAGTTATAGCACAAGTTCGAAGCTTTAGCCGTCAAATGCCTCTCTCGGGGTGCTAACTTTAAGAACCGAGAACATTTTGCAACAAGGTGTTGTTCTTTACATACCGGACACTCGGCGGTTCGAGTTGCGAGCGACGAAGCCGACGCGGAATTCTTTGACGAAGTCGACTGAGACTTTTGCGACGTATTTTGTGAGCCCGATACCGACGCGAGAATCCGGCAGTGATCAGAGAGGAACTTTGTGAGCTGCGTGAATTTCGGTATTTCCTCCGCCCGGTGTTCAGATTCGAACTTCTCGCGGAGCGAGCGAGGGAGCTTCTCCAGCAAGAATTTGAGAAGGAGATAATCCCAAGCGTCTGTAGGAAATCCTAATAGATTCAATGCTCGCGTGTTCTCGGTGAAGGTGCTCAACAGCGTGCGCAGGGGGACGGCCGACTCCGACTTCAACGGCTGAGCTTTCAGCATCAAATCCACGTGATAATCCGCCAAGTCTTGTTTGTTTTGATATCGCGAAATCAAGGCGTCATAAGCTATCGCGTAGTTATCGGCGGAGAGAGGGATGTTCTTGACGACGTTCAGCGCTTCTCCTTTCAAGCAGGATATCAGATATTGATACTTCTCTATGGTAGGGACGTTCCGGTTCTCGTGAATAGAGATGTTGTATAACGCGATGAACGAGGGCCAAAGCGTGAGATCTCCCGAAAATTGCGGAAGGGAGATCTTGGGCAATTTGACCGATGACGTCTGGACCGGGGCCTGCGGGGCCGGAGCGGCTACTCGGTCGGCGCCCACAAATCTCTCGTAACGCCCGATTACCGCGAAGCGCATCTCGTCAAAGTCCCGGCGAATCGAATCCTTTGTTTCGAACTCTTCATCTGAGGCGTTTTGTATTATCTTGAGGTGGGCTGCCTCAAAGTCCTCGACCAATTTGGTCACGATGGGATATCGCACGAGAAAGTTCGGTCTCTGATTTACATTGTCCGCGGCGAGCATCGACAGCTCATGAATCTCCCGCATACGTTTCACGCATAACTCGCGTTTGGTTACATTCCCTCGACTCATGATGCCCGGAATACAATCACTAGGTCAACCAAGATGACGATAGCAGCTCACTTCGATGTGAGAATATCAACAATGCCGGAAGCTAACGGTCTTCAAGTTCCGAAATGTTCGCAAAACGAAACAACTATCTCCTTGTTATGATGACGAGTCGGCTCGGCTCGAATTTCTGTTCGAAGGCACGACGGATATTTTCGAGAGGCTATAATAACGATTTGCACAATTTCAAAACGACGGTAGGTTGATGCAAAATAATAGGGTGCGAGCACTGGCGGTAGAGGGGGGTCAAGTAGGATAATTAACGAGGAAGATGGTTGCAAAGGATACAAAATAATATAATAGTTAGACCAATAATAAATCAACAATCAGTAATCAATAATCAACAAAGTCCAAATTATCAATTAAATTGGCACAGGTACCCGGTTACGACGAAGAAATTGCACTCGGGTACTTATCTGATCGAGCCTCAGTAATACGCGTTGCGCGCGGTCTTACTACATAAGCGGAATATACGACATGAGCATACGACGTGAGCGGTATACCACACGAGCAATCCACGACACAAGCACTAATTTATGTGGCTCAATTACCATCACAATCTCCAATGTCTAATTGAAATATCATATGAGTGCTGATATATTTTATCCCGGGGACCAGTGCCGCCAAACAGTGTTGTCGATCGATGGCAAATATTCGCAAGCGTTCCAACGATCGAGAAAGTGTGTATGTACGCGTGTATTTTCGAATTGTATCGAAAACACACCCGGTAGCGACGAACAAGTATCGCGTGTTATTATCACGCGCGCGTCTATATAGAAGAACACGATGTGCACGCGGCCGGCACGTGACCGAGCGCCCGGGCCGCCGACAGCGAGATGAAAACGTATGGCTCAACCGAGAATATTCCAATGTTGAATATTTCGGTTAACGACAATATTCAATAACGAACGACAAAGGCAATTAACCACAAAGCAATCAAACTACAAGTTTCCCGCGCGTATTCTCGTCGCGAAGCAATGTTGCGGCCGAGAGATATCGCGGCGGGTGTAGAATACGCGACTGATCAATTGTAATGCAATCGCGATCAAAACTACTAAGAAATGCTACCCACGAGCGAAAGGTCGGCGTTATTACTTTAGCGCGCGAATCCGGCTCGAAGGACCAATGCACGGGGGGGTATGAGGCGCTCCCCGGGTTTGCGATTGGTCAACAAAATTTCTCGAAGGACCAGAGGGCCCGTGCCCTCGCGAAAGTGAATAAAGCGAAGCAAGCAAGCGAATATCAAAAATGCGAGGCGACTCACCGTGTCGTTGCCCGGCGCCTTTTGGGTGTCGACGTCGTCCTCCCGTTGGCGAGATCTCTGGCGTGCAAG